TTTTTTTTATTAATTTTGTACTTAAAATATTCTAAAAGAAACATAACAATATTGTTTTATGTACTTTCACTTTTCACGTATAGTATAACTACTCTTTAAGATTAAGTACTGTGTATCTCAAAAACCAGAGCTAATAAAAATTTTTCATTGTTATTTTCGTTTTTATCACCCCAAAATTAGTAGAAATTGACTAATTTAGTGTAGGAAACATTCAAAAAATATTTTTTTGTTGTTTTGTGATATACATACAAAATATTTGCCAAATTAAATTGAAATGAAAGTATGCAATATATGCAGACGATACAGTACTTTTATTTGCAAATAAAAACCCAATTATTCAAGAAAATACAATTAATGGTGATCTAAAACTTTTTGAAAAATGGCTTTACTCAAATTTTTTTTTCAGGTAACCCAAATAAAACTGAATTTATTACATTTCATAAAAAAAATAAGTAAGATGTTACAATAAATATTTCTATGAAGAATACACAAAAAAACAAACTATGCAAATGAAGTACCTTGGTGTTCATGTTGACAATAAATTGAAATGGGATATACATATTGACAATTTCTGCCATTGTTAGAGCACTACGCAGATGTCCAAAATTGAAACCAGAAATAGTCGGATTGAATATTTATTAAATATATGAGGATCATGCTGTAAAAATACCTGCAACAAAATATCCATTGTTCATAAGAAAGCATTAAAAGTACCTACTGTATCGGCTTCTATATGACATTCCAACTAACCAACTGTATTCAATAACAAACACATTTCATAATAAACAGACCTGAAATTGCATATTCAATGATCAATAAAAAAATTAAATCTAACCTCATCTCAATGAAAAATTCAGAAAATCATGATCATGATACAAGGCAACATAATCTGTTTCATCTCGATACTGCAAGCTCCATTATGAGCAAAACAACATTTAATCATGATTCTCTTTCTGCTTTCAATAAATGGCCTGATCACTTACACAACTGAAAATTTAGTAAAATTCAAAAAATCAATAAAATTAAAAGAATTTGTACTTCAGGAAAGAAACTAGAAAAAATAGAATACATTTTTTTTTGGGAAAAACCAAATTCATTTCTTTGTTTACTGATATCTCAGTTTGAATGTCCTAAATTTATATGATAAGATTTGTGAATAGTCTTATACCAGAATAAGTCTGTCTGACTATTCATGCTCTTATATAAACATTATTTTTATATGTGTATGTGTATGTATATGTGTATATATGTGTATGTATATGTATGTGTAAAGGCATAACCTTATTATTTTGATTATTTTCTTTTTTAGATTTTAGTTGTTGTTATAATTCTGTAATAATAATGTTGATTGATTAAAAAAAAAGAGTGAACATTCAAAAAACTCTTAACCCTGGTTTGAAAATATTCGTCTCTCCTAAAGCACCTACACAGTGGGATCTGGTGAATGCCTGACGGAATACAACTACTTTCTCAGCTAATACCACGCTGGACATTGAAATATATCCGACAGACATTCATGCAAGTTACCCCACAGAGGTAAGTATCGCAGATATTTCTCGTTCATCCAGCAGCAGGACTCTGCTGAAATCCATCGAGTAGATCACCTACATATACAATGAATGAAACCACTATTTTGTGAATATAGGAACCAAAATATCATACAGTATTGTATGACTGTACAGGTAATTCAATGTTAATTGAACCGACGTTATTAAGAAGTGGACAGTGTAATAGTCAGTAAATTGGCTAATTTTGATAATATAAGCGTTACCACATTGGAGGTGGTAAAGAACTATAAACTGTATTAACCAAACTTCCCGACGACATCAAAGTTTCAGGAAATGTACATATTTTCAAGATAAAAGTTAAGCAACTCTTATTGTCAAAAAACTGCTACACTGTTGAGGATTTTCAGCCGTAACTTTATTTCCACGTGAAGGGTACGGTTTATTTAATATACACCTTTTTTATTTATACACACGTAGAATTAGTAACTTCAATATATTTTATATTTACACCTGAAATTAATACAAATCATGAAATTAATTATAAAACAACAACAAAAACTAATTGGCGCTCCGGGGCGGCTTCATTCATTCCAGTGGTGCATTTGCTTTTTCAGCTGCAGGAAAACCAGGAAAAACCTGCAGCACCACATCATCTGAAGATCTTGACCTGCCAATACCCTCTCTCTCTCATAACACCTTATATTATTTGTAATAATTGTTTGTGACGTGGATGTGATGGTCCCATACAGATCCAGAGACATTTAATCATTCTAGTAATTTCATATGTATATACATTTTCTTATATCATTTCTCTACTTGAATTTATTGACGTTTTACTCTTTTTTATTTATATTATCACACTGTTGATGTGCAAACAAATTTGTGAAAAATAGAATTAGTAACTTCAATATATTTTATATTCATACTTTATATTATTTGTAATAATTGTTTGTGACGTGAATGTGATGGTTCTATACACATCCAGAGATATTTAATTATTCTAGTCAATTTATATGTATATACATTTTCTTATATCATTTCTCTACTTGAGTTTATTCACGTTTTTCTCTTTTTATTCGCATTATCACACTGTTGATATGCAAAGTAATTTGTGAAAATAAAGAAATTATTATTATTATTGACATCATCAAAAAATTTGCATCAAATTTTGTGTAAAAAATGAAATTGAGTGCTCAAAAACATTTGAAATGTTGACAGTGGCATACGGCGATTGTTAGGTTAGGTTAGGTTAAGTCCAAAGTGAGTGGGTCTATTCTACCCTCTGGCGCAAACCGCAAGGGTTTATTGTGGCTCACACCTACTTACACTCGACCAAATAAACCCAGTTTGCTAACGCAGCCGATTAGTTTGTATGGTGAGTGGTCTGTCAGGTCAGATGGTACAGCTCTGCCAAACTCTGGAAACCTGATTCGGTCCCCAGCTGGGCGGGCACAAAGTATGTCTTCTGTTGTTTCATCATTTTCCAAACAGAGGCGACAAACACTGTTTTCCGACAGTCCCAGTCTCTGCATATGATGATTCAAATGACAGTGACTTGTTAGACATCGTAGTTCATCCCTATTGTAGTCCAACAACTGTTTGGTATCAAGTTTCGAAAGGTGAAGTGAGCCAATCCTGGAAGATTCTGCCAGAAGTCCATAAATATTCTTTTCATCCAGTGTTCAGTGTTTGTTTGGCAAAGCCTAAAGCGATGCCAATGGTCCGATGAAGCTGCTTGTAGAACCCTCTTTTTGCGAGGGAGTCAGCGGCCTCATTGCTTTTCAGGTCAGTATGACCAGGAATCCAGACCAGCACTACCACCAGCACCAGCACTGCCACACGCTTCATGCCCAAAATTAACAGAAAAATTGCATGGCATGAGCCAACGGATATGTCGACTCCCTCAGCAACTTCTCTAATAGAGATTCAACGATTCTCCATAACACTTTCTTTTACTTTTTCAACATTTTCTCACTCACCTCATTTTTTGAACAGCAAATATGTATGATGATGATGATATTTCAGGTAGATTTCGATGAGAAGAAAACTGATACGATAATAGCAATGAATTCCGATCTGGGTGAGAAAGTAGCTTTTGAAAAAGGAGTTCAGTGTGTAGGAGGTGTCGAGTTTTGGTTGAACGGTCTGCTACAAATGGTGAGAGATACGGTTAGGAATGTCATCGCTGCACAAGCTCAATGTTTCGTAGATCCGGATTACGATTTTATTGGCGGATTTACCCAGTTTTGCGGTCAGGTGAGTTTTCTTGAAGGAATCAAACTTCAATTCATATTTTATATTTACCTACATATATAATATTGAGCGTGGAAAAATTCCTGCATTCTTTAATGACCTTTCGTAGATTCATTTGTAGGTAACAAAAACAAAGAATATAATTACAAAATTGAATTCTGTGATTGAACGCACTTTGGATGTCTTCAGGAAGAATACTAGTACATTCAAATACCTATATCTTTGATGGCTACCACCAATGTTCGTAACAAAAAATGGCGGAACTTAATTTCCTTGCCAAATATTATCATATTCAAAAGCCTAAATGAAATATTAGTTTTTGCCCAAATTTAAATCGATATGATTTAACTAAAGTACAATCTCAAATATTATTGCATTAAAACGAAAACATTGTTGTCAAGGTTGTGATTCTACATATTTTACCATTACTTTTCCTCATCTGTTTAGTGTAATTTCTGTACGCCACTGCAAGAGACAAATTAAGGCAAAAACGTCGGTCAATTCCGACAATTCAGTGCCTACTATTTCGGAATTATGGTATGGTAGTTGTTTTGTTCGACTTGTATTATAACCATCCATACGATCTTAAGTTAACCCTAACCTTTAAAAGACATGTCTCTATTTAATGTATACACTCTTACCTGTTTCATTTTCTTTTATCTTCATATTAATACAGACTTTGTCATTGACGATTATAATTCTTCAGAGAATAGGTATAAATAACTTTCGATTCACTACCTGATCTGACAGGTCTCGGGAGTAACATATAGATGGCGCTAGACTACTACTAACGTTCAAAAGAAAGCTGTTCATGATATTATTGTGCTGAAAGTGTCACTACTTTTGACCAGAGACCAGGCACTCAAAACAGAGTGAAACCGACTCAATGCTCGTCTCCTCATCAACCAATTCACTCAGCAAAGGTGGATAGAGGTGACGAAAAGCTTAAACATAAACATAAATTCAAAGTCATCACAGGACAAAAACGGAAAACCGTCAGTCACCTCGAGATTGACGGCAACATAATTTCCAATCTCTCAGAATCCTTCCGAGAAAATCTAGAACGTTACGTTCCAACTTCCGAAAGATATTCACTTCGACAACCGTCACTTAAACTTCGTACAACAACAAGTCCCTGCTCATCTGGGCAGATATCCCGGTCAAATTCCCCTTGACCCAAACTGCCCCCTAAGATCCCCTTCAGTGAGGAAGACATCCTCCAAGCGATCCACCATGGTAAAAATACCGCCCCTGGACTCCATTCTATGCAACGTCGAATTGTGAAAAACCTCCCCGACTCCGCCCTAATACATCTCAAACACGTCCTGGACGCATGTTTGAAACACGTTTATTTCCCATCTGCTTGGAAACAGGCAAATACTATATGATCCCCAAACCTCAAAAAGACCCCACCAAACCTGACTCCTGTAGACCCATCAGTCTCCTCAATGTATTCGGAAAACTGCTAGAACGTCTAATCACTAACAGATAAAATCACTACATCCCTGAAAACAACATAATCCCTCCACACCAACATGGCTTCAGACCAGAACACTCCATCCAAAACGCATTGGTCGAACTAAATACACACATCACCCAAAACATTAATTCTTCCTTCGGTACTGTCGCTATCCTCCTAGACATCGAAAAAGCATTTGACAAGGTCTGGCACGTGGGCCTGATCTAGAAAGTGATTCAAATCCGTCTTCCTCCTCATTTCATCAGACTAGTCGCGTCCTATCTCACAAACCAACAAATCCGCGCAAAAGTAGGCGAAGCCCTCTTCTCCCCTCTCACCCCCTAAGCCGGAGTCTCTCAGGGCTCAGTTCTTGCACCCACCCTCTGTATCTGTATCTGTAGAGTAGGGAGGGTGAGTGTAAGCCCACGCACTTAGGCCACATGTGACCCATTGTACATCCTCCCGAGGAGTTGTCCTGCTAGGTCATCGTCCATCCTGTCCTTTCCAGGAAGGTGGACAGGTCGCTGGGAGACATCTCCTTTATATCTGCAGGTGTAGGCCAAGACTCGCCGAACACACACTCTCTTATTGACGAACATGCCTGACAGTCTCATCTTCCTGTTCACACATCCTGCATAGAGGTGTGTCCACTAGCCCCATATTATGTAGGTGTTTCCTTAGCTGACAGTGGCCAGTCAGAAATCCTACTGTAAGGCGTAGATTTTTCCTGGTCATCGCTAGATATTTCTTCGGCGCCAGCTTCCCAGGGTCGCCCAAGGTGATCCTGGCAAGATTACATCCTTTGATTTCATCCCATCTCTTTAAGAATTGAGCATGGGTGTAACATTTGACTAGTTCCGCAATTGTCGAAGTCATCAGGCCGTGGGTGCCACTAGGTCCTAAAAGTCTTAGTCCAGCCGCTTCCTAAACTGGCTAAAGAGTAGGTAATGCGATTACCTTTACTCCTGTCGTGCCCTTTAACCCACCTCAGGATAATGTTAATATCTACCGAGGCTTTGGCTAAATCTTGGTGGCACTCTAGTGCTAGCCCCGAAGTAACACGCTGTCTGTTCAAGGCTAATAGTTTTTGTCTGCTATCAGTGCAGATTGTTATGTTTTTGCCAGAAATTCTTTTCTTGGTTATTTCTTTTGTGGCGATTGAGATTGCACCCACCCTATTTCTAACATATATGCACGACTCTCCCTCCACTTAAAAAATACCACAATATGCAGATAATACAATCCTATACTCCTCAGCCACCAGCACCCGTATCTTACAAACACAATCCCAAACGATGATAAAATAATTTGAGCATTGGTGCAATAAGTGGCGAATCAAAATAAACTCCCTTAAAATCCAAACCATCCTATTCAGACACCGTAACGCCACCACCCGTCCAAACTTAATACCGACAAGTTGAAACCTCAGACTGTTAGGAGAGAACCTTCACCTCCAAAATTCGGTGTCCTACTTGGGGTTTCTTTCACGAGTACCCTCAACTGGGAGACCGACCTTAGAGAAACCCTGGACAGAGTCCGGAAAAGTGCCAATCTCCTGAAAGCGCTGCGCTAGATGCAACAGTAGGACTCTCTTACACACCTATAAAACCATCATAAGACCGGTCGTGGACCAAAAAGCTATGATCTACAGCACCCTCTCCCAAAAACAAATCTACCGAATATTAAGAACCGAGAGAAGAATGCTGAGAAATATCCATAACCTCCCTTTCAGACATCTCTCCCACGACCTATAACCAAATAGATATCACCCCAATCTATTTGAGAGTGCAGGAACTCCAAGAAACATGTTGTAAGGAATACTCACTGTCCCCAAGAAAACTGAGATGGTCCTTTTCACCAGGATATGAAGTTTATCGGGCTTGAAACTTCCCGAAATCTTCAAAATCAAACTAAACTTATCGGAAGAGGTGAAATACCTTGGTACTATCCTCGACAGGAAGCTAACATGGAACTCTCACCTACAGAGTAGAGCAAAAAGGGCATATTATGTAGCTTTTGAGCAATGTCGGAGGACAGTCTTTTACCCCGTGTGGACCGAAAGTTCTACAAGCAACGGTCATCCAAAAATTATATCAAATACAGCGATTGGCTTGTTTAAACATCACAGGGGCCATGAGAATAACACCAACCGCGACAATGGAATTATCGTCAATAAGAGAGTGTGTGTTCGGCGAGTCTTGGCCTACACCTGCCGATATAAAGGAGATGTCTCCCAGTGACCTGTCCACCTTCCTGGAAAGGACAGATACGCAGCGAGAACAATGAGAAGCCACAACACCGCGGTCATTGGCACCCTAACGATCCCATGGAGGCGCCAAAAGGATACCACCGAAAAGCTCCCGTTCCCCTCAGTCAGACTCCTGGGGTTAGTGGAAGACCCAACGGAGCAGATCCAGAATATCCTGAAGGAATATCCATTAGCTATTCGATAGCGGAAGATTACGCTCTGAGAACTCAACTTGAAGACCAACCACACCACCCCTGGTTTAATACGAACCTACTCCCCCCCCCCCGAACAACGACCACCGCCATGGACCAGGACACCAACTACTAAAGGAAATAACTCCGAAACACTAACACAAATAGGATAAATAATTGTAACCCGGAAGAGGCATAAGCTTATAACAGGCCCAATTCAAACATAAAATAACACTGTAAAATACTAACCCCCCAAAATGAATGAAAACATGATCAAGCACACTATTTAATTTTCCAATGGATCAAAAACAATTTCGGCTGTTCGCAGACCATAAAAAATGCTCACCGGCAAGAAATTTCGCTCGAATGGAAAGGTTTTTGTTGAAACTGAAACTTATTTTCAGGCAAAAGATAATTCATTCTATTGGTACCTATTGAAATGTTTGAAAAAAAACGCGTTTTTTTTTTAGAACCGGGACTTTTCAGCTCATGTCTTATAATTCTGCATATGTTTCTTTCATTTTCAGTGAGTCAGAAGTATATACCTTACTTTTGTAAACGTTTCAACAATTGAATCTCACCGTAATTTGTTATTAGGCGGGACTTCTAGGCGTTCAAATTTTATGGACGAAAGAAGCAGAAATAGCAATTAAACGAGCCAGAGTGGATAGGATGTTCATGAAAATAACAAATCAGAGATTCTTGGATTTATTAAATGCCTTCATCGATTTGACTTCAAAGGACTTGACAAAAATGCAAAGGATACAATTCGAAACAATGGTAACAATCCACGTTCATCAAAGGTAACTATTTTCCGACTTTTATTTCAGAAAAAAGTCAAAACGACTTTGTTTCAGAGACATTTTTGATAACATCTGCAAATTGAGAGTCAAGTCGCTACTTGATTTCGAGTGGCAAGCCCAATCTAGATTTTATTACAACGATGAGAACGACGAAGTCCTGGTGAAAATAACAGACGTTATTTTCCTTTATCAGAATGAATATCTTGGAATTACAGAACGCTTAGCGATCACCCCTCTAACAGACAGATGTTACATAACGTTGGCTCAAGCTATATGTTGGTCCCTGTAGACAAACGTGAACGCTGTAGTAATAATAATGAACTTGTTTTAGGGATTAACATGGGTGGTGCCCCTGCTGGTCCTGCCGGTACTGGTAAAACGGAGACCACGAAAGATATGGGACGAACTTTGGGCAAATTTGTCGTCGTCTTCAATTGCTCGGATCAGATGGATTTCCGTGGACTTGGTCGCATTTTTAAAGTGAATTTTATATTTTCAAGAATAAAATAATCGAGTCTAAATCACACATTCAATTTCAGGGTTTGGCACAATCAGGTACTTGGGGTTGTTTTGATGAATTCAATCGCATTGAGTTACCGGTACTGTCTGTGGCAGCACAACAAATCTACATAGTGCTTCAAGCCCGGAAAGAAAGAAAACCCATGTTTATTTTCATGTAAGAAATTACGTTGTAATTCGAGATTTAGCGGTTTAGAGTCATGATCTGAAATGCCACTGCAAGATTCTTACTTTTTGTTTCTTAATCTGTTTAAAAATCTGTTTAAAATATGTTTTTCCGTTATCCAGCAGTCGTACCCCTACGAACGACAAGTATAAAAAGTTGAAACTTGTGCGAGCTAAGGACTAACGAGGTCTTAACTTTTAAAGTGTTTTAATAACTGCCATTGCGATAGTTAACGTAAAATATTATTTTATTCACAATGATCGACGTCGATCACCCGGTCCTTGGATGTTGATATTTTCCCAGATGGAAAAGCGTTTAAACTTTATGACTGTCTGACTTTTGAGCGTCGTTGTGGTCATGTACAAGTTGAGGTAGACTAAACAAATTTATATATTACATTCTGCCGATGATCATACACTTGGGAAGTTAGAAAACGCTGAGACGAGGTTTTTGTGTTTAGCATTGCTTGGGAGTTTGTGCGATAGACACAAAAAGTCGGTCATAGGAGCCCGTCGAGACGAGATCGGGGGGTATCATTCCTCAGCCTTCGAGGGTGAAGGAGGTGGCCTAAATAGGGGAGTCAGCCTGGGGCTTGAACCAGCGACCAACACGGCGGTCAATTTGAGTGAGTGAAAAAAACACCCATGTCGAACCGACCGATTACCGTCCGACGGAATGCTATTTTCAGAAAAAATTATACAGGGCTATTCGAGGTTTATACAGGGCTATTCAAATTCGTTTCTATACATGGGGATCTCGTAAACGATAAGAGATAGAGTGTCGGTTAAATTATGGCAAAGTTGCGTATTTTAGAGACCTATTCAATGATGTAAAGGAATCGAATATAGCTCTTTTGGTTCTGGAGATACACAGGAAGAAACAAAAATCCCAAATTATTTTTTTGCCTATATCTTCTTTATTTGCAGACATATTGAAAATCTGTCCACATTTTGCTATTGGCACTTGATGTGGGCTCTCAGAATATATCTATAATTCTTTTACACAAGGTGTTATCTGACTTGGACCACCTCCATCTTTGAATTTTTAAATACGGACCTGTATTTTTTGTTGTAGTTTTTGGATATTAGACGTTCACTTCATACTGAGAAATCAAATTATATATTTCGGGATTTTTCGGTAATATTCGATTATAATTGTATGAAGTATTCCCTTTTAAATTACGGCCCTGGAAATTGGTTGACTGAGTTGAATAAAATCATAATGGCAACTTTCACGTCTCCCTAAGTGTCGTTGAGTTTTTTGAGAGTTTTTTTTTTCAGGTACCTATTCATATTTTTTCCGTTGCTCTGAGCGTTTTCTACAATGAACTTCGAATAAGAAAACCTTTTATGATTATTTGAAACATACCTACATCAAAAATATATTATATATCTCAGTATGAAGTGAACGTCTAATATCCAAAAACTACAGGTCCGTATTTAAAAATTCAAAGATGGAGGTGATCCAAGTCAGATAACACCCTGTGTAAAAGAATTTTAGATATATTCTGAGAGCCCACATCAAGTGCCAATAGCAAAATGTGGACAGATTTTCAATATGTCTGCAAATAAGGAAGATATAGGCAAAAAAATAATTTGGGATTTTTGTTTCTTTCTGTATATCTCCAGAACCAAAAGAGCAATATTCGATTCCTTTACATTATTGAATAGGTCTCTGAAATACACAACTTTGCCACAATTTAACCGACACTCTATCTCTTATCGTTTACGAGATCCCAATGTACAGAAACGAATTTGAATAGCCCTGTATATAAATATATTCAGTTGGTTCCAAGAAAGGTAGATGAAAAATGCATTCAATAGCTTTATTCTGCGAACTTCTTAATGGTTTCAAATTTGTATTTGAAGCAGTTCCCCATTGACTAATTGAATACTGTAATTCGGAATAGATGAGTGAGAAGTAAATTTTTGTCAAATCCTTCAAAGAAATATAGTTTCTTATTCTATATGAATTCTCAATATAGCTTTTTTCGAATGACATCGATCTGGATATTCCACTAAAGAATTTCATTTTAATATAAAGCCAAGATCATCTTCAAGAGGAAAATCAAAATGATCTTCTCGAAGATGATCACTAGGTGATCGAAACACGTGTCGAAGTGTTAAAATAACGGTTTGATGTTCTGAAAAACCCCAGTAATATTCATTACCACACCAAAGGTTCCAAACAGTGTATCAAAACTAAATTCTGATAAGGCACTGAATAAACATTTATTACCCAAAAAACATAGATTTTTTTCACAGGTTCAAATCAATGACATGAACAGTAACACTAAAGCAACAAAGAAATATTTTGCACAGAAAATGAAAAAAAATTAATATCAGTAATTAATTCAGGTCTTCCATCAGTTAATAAAAAAATCAAATGTTTGAAATTTGTTTTAAATTTTAGTTTGTCATATTTTTCAATTGTATTTGCTGGTCCCTTATATAATTTTATGCCAGTATGACACACATATATATATTTGAATTACCTTTCAATTATGCTAATCAGGTCAGTTAAGCCTGATCATGCTGCTATCACCTTCAAACATTAGTAGCATAAATCTAAAGAAATAAACTTCAAACATTCAAGCCAGTCTAGAATATACCTACACAGTAGGTTGAATGGACTGACGCCTATCAGAAAACAACTACTCCCCTGGCTAATACCACGAAGGGCGTTGGATTATATCCGACAGGCGTCAGTGCAGGATTCCTCACAGAAAATTTCCTGCATATGCAATTGGCAATTATGAAATATCATTGACTTCAGGTCGATGATGGCCATTATCTTGCACTGATGAGTGGCTAATGAGCCCGAAACCGGTCTGCAAGTGTGCTGGTTCCAAAATTGAAGGTCGACTCTTTCAGTTTCTGTCTGTTTAAAATCTGTTCGTGCAGTGCAAGATAATGGCCATCATCGACCTGAAGTCAATGATATTTCATAATTGCCAATTGCATATGCACGAAATTTTCTGTGAAGAATCCTGCACTGACGCCTGTCGGATATAATCCAACGCCCTTCGTGGTATTAGCCAGGGGAGTAGTTATTTTCTAATAGGCGTCAGTCCATTCAACTTACTTTGTAGGTATATTCGAGACTAGCGTGAACGTTTAAAGTTCATTTCTTTAGATTTGTTTACTGCCAGTCTTCAAGCATAGTCCACTGACTAATAAGAAACATTAGTAACATATTGAAAAAACACTTCATTGTGAGATTTTCACTAAACAATTTCACAAAAATGCAACACGTGTTTCGCCATACAATGGCTTCCTCAGGCGTGTCTTCACTCACGCCCGACGTCCGAAGAAGCCATTGTGTGGCGAAACACGTTTTGCGTTTTTGTAAAATCTTTTAGTCGAAATCTCACAATAAATTGTTTTTTGAATACGTTACGAATGGATTTTCATCAAGGTTCGGCCCATTCCATCATATATTCAAACATTAGATTTAAATGCCGCAGATGTAGAAATCCTACAGTGCAAATTTCGACTATGAAGTGTTTTTGCAGGGATGGAGATAACGTGTCGATGAATATTGAATTCGGCATCTTCCTAACGATGAATCCCGGATATGCGGGAAGACAAGAACTCCCGGAGAATTTGAAAATCATGTTCCGAAGTGTCGCCATGATGGTCCCAGATCGTCAAATCATTATCCGTGTCAAACTAGCCTCCTGCGGCTTCAAAGATAACGTTTTCTTGTCAAGAAAGTTTTTCACCCTGTACCAGTTGTGCGAGGAACAGCTGTCGAAACAAGTAACGCCATTTTTCATTAACTATATCCACCATATTTCCTCAGTCAGTACAAAACAGAAACATAAATACTATGTTATCCTGGCCGTTTGCCTTTATTCAGTGAATTTCCTTGGCAGATTTAGTCGATATAGAAATAAACTTAGAAATAATATATACTCATTTTCAATAATACAATAACGACGTATGTTTTGGCATTTCCGCTATCTTCAAGTAACTAAAGTGGTGTGTACTGATCGATAGAAAATTTTGTACTCAATAAATTGATGGATGTAGCCGTTACTACGTGGTGGAAAATTATAATGAATAGAGAAATGAAACTTTCTATGTTTTTACCACTTTTATTTGTAACAAACTCATCTATTTAGAATCCTTGGAAATTCATAAGCATAAACATTGCGGGTGCAACCTGTTAAATGGTCAAATCGATTTAGTTTACTCGCCGTTTTTTAAATTGGCACATCCGCATTGTAAACTGTAAATGCAAGTACTCAATCAAGCCAAGTACCTTTATTTGTACCTACAGGAGTGGTATATAAGGGCTAATGTAATGAACCATTGTTAGTTTATTGTATAAGTTTGAAAAAGACCATATAGAACGAAACTGCAGTGGGTAACGTTGATTACAAATAAAAGTGGTAAAAAACATAGACAGTTTCATTTCTCTTTCCATTAATTTTGTACACTATACATCCCATGCGGTTTTTAATGGTTTAAAACCTATTAGAAAGCTCAAAAAGCTCGAATTATCGACAAAAATTATCACGTTTCGAGGTATGTCCTCTGCTTTTGCGCATCCGAAACGATCCTTCTTTGGATCGGATGTGGATCCTCTACGACAACAGGCACTTCCTAAAGGCAAAAACCCACAAGAAATTGACCACTATAACTTTCTGCAACCAAACCAAACCACCAAAGCAGAGTCATATTTTGGAGCCGGCATTGGACAACAGAAGAGCTCCGATCCTGCTCTATGACAATGCACGCTTCACGAATTACCGTCTGAAAGTCAAACGAATTGAGCGTCGAAGTTCAGCATCACCCACCATACTCCCCAGACCTCTTGCCAACCAACTTCCATCTTGTCAAGCACTTCGATAACTTGCACACCGGTAGAACCTTCGCCAATCACGACCAGGCAAAAACGGCCTTTGTCGACTTCATTGAATCTCCATCACACTATTTTTATGCTGACGGAAATAATCGACTTCTAATACGTTGGTAAAAATTGGCAAAAGTGCGCTTATTTCGATTAAATTGTATAAGTGGACTCATATAAACAGACAAAACTTCTGAAGCTACCTAATATTCCAAAATGTTAGTGATAACAATACGATATCACAGTCAGTGTGTGAATATTTATTGACGTGAAGATGGCAAAAATACCGAAACGTACGTCACGGGACGCCTGGCAGATGTGAAACATCAATAATAATATTTTGCGATCCCTGTGAAGATTGTTGGGTACTGAAATATTTATAAAAAATTTGTAATGAAAATATAGACGAACACATTTTAATGTGGCTTCAATATACTAGTCAACTCAAGAACCTTAGCTATTGAAGATCTTAAATTATAAATATCAATAATGAAAGTTCCAAAACAAATTCCACCATCATTAGAAAATAATAATAATAATAATCTTTAATAATCCCAAGAAACAAGAATGTTTATAACAGGGATAAAATTTAAAATAATGATTGAATAAATTATTTCAATATTAAATATCAGTTACATATACAGCACATAAATACATAAATACAAACACAAATATACATACATAGTTACATATACACACATATACATATATACATTTTTGAATTGTAATGGCAATTAAAAACAAAAAAAATGTAATATGGAGATCAGAATTTCAACCAGAGGAAGAAAGCAGAAACTTTTTCAATTCCGATTTGAATTTTGTTTTTTGATTCATTTTTAGTTTCTCTGGAAGATCATTATATATTTTAACTCCTAAATGAAATATTAATTTCTCCCCAAATTTTGAGCGATATGACTCAACTAGTAGTTTTTTTTTCTTGCCTTGTATTATAGTCATGGATGGTATTTATTTGATTGAAATCCAAATTCGAATTTTTGTGATTGTTTCTAACAGAATGAATGAAACAACAAATTTTCAATTGAAAAATAGACTGAATATCTAAAAGACCACGTGGTATATATAAATTTGACGTAGGTTCAAGATATGGTAATTTAAATATACCTTGTATCATTTTATTTTGCAGTCTCTTGAGAGGATTTATTATTGATAAATTAGCTGTCCCCCAAATCGAAATTAAATATTGTAGATTTGAAAATACCAAACAGAAATATATACATTTGGAGGCCAAATGTATATTGAGCAACTTGATTTATGTAGGTCTCCTCTTTTGAATTTATGAGTTTAACAACCCCTAGAATTTTCAGGATGGTATTTTAAGTTGGCATCCTGTCTCTCAAATACCTGGCCTTGCAGCATACCTGAAAATTCTATAAAATCGATGTTTCAAATTCAGATTTCAGTTTTATACTTGATAATGGGATCAAACCCGAAACCGGTCGTAAAATAAAATTTTC